TCATGATCATATTCATTTTATCACATATAGTATCCGTACTCAAGGAAGTCATTTCCAACACATTAACTATATAAACCAATTATCCGAATACTCACATCATTGGTACATAACCATTATTCAAACAACAACAATATTGGCACGTAACTACACATCAACACACATACACAATATACCCAATTATGCATGTAACTCACAACACGACTCAACATATGCGAATGCGGTACCGACTCGTGGACCCAAGGTTCCACCACCTATGTTTCCCTTCCGGATCAAGGTCACTACGTCTTTTCCCGCAATAGGGTCACCGTCTAGATATTGTGGACCCAATGTTCCACCACCTATGTTTCCCTTCCGGATCAAGGTCACTACGTCTATTCCCACACTAGGGTCACCGTCTATAAAATCATGTGAACCCACAGTTTCACCGTCTCTGTTTCAAGACCAACCATGCCATGCAATGTACAATATAACCAATGTATGCAATTAAGATTCACAATAATCTTAACATACACATACCGTCAAATCCAACCAATGGAACATCAACTATTGTACATGCATGCATACATATAATTTAACAATCACAACGTCAAGTAAAATGTATACAAACAAGTTACTTACTCAACCAAAACATAAACCATCTACTATCAAACAATTCCAAATCGGAAGGTATAATTCAACATAAAGTCATCATCAATGAACCGGCATCACTCTCAATATTACTCATCGCGATCGAGTCACCGGAATGTAACTCGAACGGTTAAATTCGAGATTAAACTCAATTTATTTCATTTCGTACTAAAATCGGGTCGATTCTTAAAAAGTCGAAATTTCGCAAAACGAACTTCCCTACGTTAATCTACACGTCGAATTATGCCAGCACGTCAATTTTCGTGCGAATCGGAGAAAGTAGCTCCGTCGCTAAAATTACCGAAATCGGGTAATCGGCACATCAACGGGTTCGAAATTAAGTCGGCTAAATGTTTCTAATATTAATTTTAATTAATATAATGATTTAAGATTATATAATTAAAGTTTAATAACAAGACAGATTTCGCTACAGCTTGCCAAATAATTGCACAAAATGCTACTTCACAATGTCACTTTCTATGCACCAATTGTATACCAGCTATGTGCCACTAAATATCTTCCATTCATACGCTACAGTAAGCAGAATAATTCCTTCTATTTATTTCTTCATATGCGCTACTGTAATGCTTAAACAATTCCATATGCTACTAAATATTACTTTATACATAACGCTACAGTAACCAGCCACTTCTTCCAATTTGGTTCAAGGATGAGTCTTTTGTTTTAACTCAAGGCCACAAAAGATCTATTTTGTTTATTTTTTTATCTAGACAATGTACCGCCTCCAATGCTTGTGTGAGTATCCTCCATGTATCCTGATTTGGATAACTTCCACCGCTTACCCGCTGCTATAGTTCCAACGGATGGGTCAATGGACAGCATTGTTTCATGATGAAGGAGAGTAGAACGAATGGCTTTGAAAATAAGTATTATTTATTTAATTTTTTTTTTAAGAATGAAAAAGCGCTTATCATAAGTGCTTATGGATGGAAGAAAGGCATTTCCACGTTACCACACATGGAAGCTACGTTACTGTGTAATTATTCTTCATCTAACAAAATCAAAACCCAAAACCACAAGTATATGAGCAAAGCAATTCAAACCCTTACCTCTAGTGTTGATTTCCTTGGAACAAGATGATGATTTTTTTTCTAGAACAAACCCTAGCCTTCTCCTTCTCTTCTCTTCTTCTTCTCTCCTTTCTTTCTTCTTTCTCCTCTTACCAACTACTCTTACTAACTCTCCTTTTCTATTTTATAAAACTATCCTTCTACTACTAACTTTCCTCCCTCTATCTTTCTAAAATTATAATTTGGCCCCAACAATTATTTAATTCAAATTATAATATAAAACTCTATTAAAACAATATTACACTAAATAATATTTATTCTATATAAACCTAATCATGCCAATTAATCAAACAAAGTCAAATATTACTACACACCAAATTAATATTATCCAAAATAATATTTCGACATAATAAATATTTTTATTTCATATTACCCAATTAATATTTTAATCGATATCAATGGAATATATTTCTCAAAATAGATATAATTTAATAGTTTTGGAAAATAATTAATGAAATAACATTTAAATATAAACGGCGTGTTACATCTTTGGTCCCATGTCATTTTGATTTACCAATCTCAAGTTATGGTCTTTGACTTAAAGTCTCTTTTTGTTGACTTTTGAAAATGACCTATAATGTTGAAATTGATAACTTTTTGTGAGAGCATTTCTTGGACTTGGAATGTGAAGATGCGTTGTAGGAAATGTCCTCCCCTTCAAGATGAGCATTGGATGGGATTTTTCTGATGAACCATGAAAAAGTTATGCCTTGGTCAAGTTACAGTTGACTTTTCAACTGTCCAAAAATAGAAACTTTTGCATCTTGATGATTTTTGAGCCATTCTTGTGAAATCATGGTCAAGACTTGACCAAATGATGATTGTGGCTTCAAAATGAGATGTTGACAAATTTTTTTGACTTTTGACTGCCAAATGACCATTTTTCCCCTACAGTTGACTGTGGAGCAATTAGGGTTTTTGACTGTGCAACTTGACCTTGTGAGCCTTGAAACTTGACATGTAGGTGCTTGACAATGTGTATGAGCATATGGGACTTGATTGGACCCTTGAAAACCTCAACTTCCTTGAAGGAATCAAAACCCTAATTTGACTGGCTTAGGAGGATGGTTGACTGTGTAGCCTTTGAGTAGACTTTGAACCATTTGAGGTGATGCTTGTCAAAAACTTTGAAGATTATGGGAGGGAAAATTTTGGGGTACAACAGTTTATTTTGATGAAATCTTTGCAAAAAGTAATAAAGCGAAAATAACTTGACTTTCTTTAAAAGAGAAAAACATGCTTGGGGAAGTGGTTAACTTGGATTGCAAAGATATGAATTCTAATTCACTCAAAGGTTAATCTTATGTTTTTCAATTACCAACCTCTAGATTGTTTTTCCCTATGTCTATAGTGAAAAACACTTGAACATTCACCCTTAATCCCAATATCGATGAAGATAAAAAGTGAATTCAAGCAATTATAATAACAAGGTTGTATGTGGTGATTATAGGGTACTCCTAGTCCTAGGTCGTATCTACTATAATCCAATTATGCAAAAACCCTAACAACTACAGTCTTACACTTGTTAGCTATAGATCATTCCCAATTTTACCGAAAGAGAAAGCATAAACCCATTGCATAATTAAATTGAAAAACATGAATTCAAACTTTGATTAACTCAGAAATTCATATTCATTGCACAAACCAATTCAGAACCACCCTCTAGCATTGGGAGGTTTAGCCTCTCATAATATTCAAGATAGACATAATTAAGAAGTTAAATATTACAAGAATAAAGGTGGACTTTGATCTTCAATGGTGGAAACCCTTGAATCCCTCTGTCTCCAATAACCTCGATGAAGCAATCTTCTCTCTTGTGTGTTCTCTATTCTACAATGCCAAAAGAAGTCCCTGGATCTCACTCAAAAACTCAAATAAATACCTAGGTACAAATCTCAGCAAGCTGGAATGTCTAAAGTTCCCCCAAGGTCAAGATTTAATGAAAAAGGACCAAAATAAAATAGCTGACGTGCAGGCCGACACGGGCCGTGTTGAGCCCACACGGGCCGTGTTTCTTCAAAAAATGGCTTCTCTTTTCTCCCGCTTCAGGCCCGTTGACACGGGTCGTGCTAGGCAGCACGGGCACCCGTGTTGGCCCCCGGGTTCTTTGTATGGGCATGACTTGCTCTGCTGACACGGGCCATGTCATGGGACACGGACCATGTTGGTCTTCATACTCTTACACTTTTCCTCTTTGGCCTTTGTACTCTTGCTCCATGCTTTGCACTCTTGCTTTAGACTAACCCACTAACCTGAGACATGCATACTACCAACAAAGAGCATTAAAAGCATCAAAATAACTCAAATAAAATAAAATGTAAGAAAATCGGCTAGACTTGAAATACTTAAGAAAACAATAAGACTTAACGTAAAATGTTACTCAATTGACAGACTTTAGACCGTATGCATGATGAAAATTAGATAGAAATGGTGACCGATCGACTATGTTCGAAAAAGGCACAGAAAAATAGAAACGTTTGAGGTCAATTCGTGAATTTATTGAAAACTTGACTGGTTTTTCAATTGTGTTTTGCCCGACTTTACAAAATCATGCATATTGCACGTTCTTCTTTTCGTTCATCTTTTATTTATGATTTCATTTTATTTTGAAAAAAATCAAAAAATATTTACTATTTCTCTCTTTTATTTCACATTCTAATTCTTTTTTAGTCATTCTAATTTTAATTTCCTTTTTATTTATTTATTGTCTTAATTTTTATTTTATTATTAATTACATTTTATCCTTACTAACATTTGCATTCTGTTTTTTATTACTATTATTATTATCATTGTTTTTTTTTCTTTTGTCTAAAATAAAAAAGCAAGTTTGGGACTCTCTCTATGCTGCAATATGTCCATACCAGTCCAAGGTACTTCTATCATGCTGCTGCCCCTACATAATCAGTTCAAAAAAATTGCTCCAAAACCTATCCAAAATCTGCACCAAAAAGCCAAAGGTTGCACAAGAATGGTTAAGAAACTAACCTACCCCAAAAACATTAAAACATGACATCAAATTTATTCAAAAACTTATCGATTCCCCCCCTAAATCCCCACTTCTCAAGTCTATATAAGAGAATCTTCAGCAAAACAGAAAAAAAAGGAGGCAGAAGAAATTACACAAAAAAATCTCACGAAAAACTTCAACAAAAATAAACTCTAAACCTTTTCCAAGATACATCCTTAATCCTCAGCCACCACCAAACACTACCAAAAACCTATTCACGGAACATACAAACCATTCACTTTCATACACAGTGTTGTTACACCGAAAAGAAAACTCTATTGAAAATTCAACAGAACCAAAACAATATCAACACCATCACCCACACAAAACAACATCCGGAAAAATAGAAGAAAGAAACCGTTGGATTCGCACAACCTCTCACCACCGCAAAACTCAAATTCTGACGATTCTATCTCTCCGCTGCATATCCGGTCGCAAATCTTCCCTTTCAAGTCAGTCATGCTTTCTTCCATGGATGAAATTGTGATTGTTGTTTCTTTCCACTTTCTTTGTGTTTACTAACTATGCTCTTTTATCTCTTAGTAAAGTTTATACTATTTTGGCTTTTGATAAGTGATTCATAAATTATTATAATATTGTATGTCACCTACTAGTGAAGATTTCATGAGTAATAATGTACCTTTTGTCACGCCTATGCACTACTTACTGTCACACACAATTTTCTTTTCCACTTTTTGATGGACATGAGCCTAAGTGATATCTATGACTTAGAATTATGTCATTTTGTTTCAATCTTTTTTCTAATATATAGTGAGCATTATTTTAGTGTAATCTCATTGCATATATATGCTTGCAAAATCACATTACCTTTTTATTAAAACAAATTAATCATTATTTTTTTGTTTTTTAAAACAAAAAGAGATTTTGATTTAAATATGTCAATATTGAAACATATATATAATTTGATCTCTATTTCAATTTACTTACACAAACCCCTATTTCAATTTTGCACCCTTGTTTTTATTTTTGTTTATCTAATTTAGTTTATTTACCTTAGTTTATTTATTTAGTTTAGTTCTTATATTTGTTAATTTATTTGATTTTATTGATTTTGTTTAGTTATTTAGTAAAACAACAAAACATATAAAAATGCTAAAATATTAATCATATTTTATTTAGTCTCAATTTAGTAGTTTAGTTATTAGGTTAGATGTTTTGCCTTATAAATATATAAAATAAAAAAAACACAAAAAACAAGTTCATTTTGTTTTATTAGGCTTTTCATTCTAATTAGAAAAATACAAAAACAAGTCCTTTTTCATACTTAGATTAATTAATTTATACATAAATACAACTAACTAAAAATCAAACTTTACTAACAAAATTAAAATAAAAATATTTTTTTCTCATCTCCATACCCATTTTAACAAATAATTGATTTTAACCAAAATACACAGATATTTCAAGAGGTTCCTATAGAATACTATAGATACATAGGATGCTAACACCTTCCCTTTGTATAACCAATCCCCGTACCTTAGATCTCTTATTTTCATTGTCTTTTCTTTTCTTTTAGTGTTACTTTTACTTTGCATATTTATGGGTTTTATTTCGCTCTTTTCCCATTCCCTTGGAAATAATAAAGTGCGGTGAGGACTTTCACTATAACGAGTCAAGTCAATCAATGGTTTGGTCTCAAATTTTTCATCGCTACACATTTCAATACTAGAATGGTAATTATTACTATAAGTAAATTTTATTAATGAAAAATGACTATCCCAAGCACCTCCTTGTTCAAGAACACAAGCCCTCAACAAATCCTCCAAATACTGAATAGTCCTCTTTGTCTGATCATTCGTCTATGGGTGATAAGCAGAACTCAAACTCAACTTAGAACCTAAGCCCCCTGCAAAACCTCTATAAATCCTGATGTAAAACCTCGTCTCTCTATTAGAAATAATACTCAATAGAACTCCATGCAATTTCACAATCACACAGACTTAAATCTCTGCCAATTTCTACAAAGGAAAACGATTTTAATCGGAATAAAATGTGACGATTTCGTCAGTCTATCAACAATCACCCAAATCATATCATGCCCTCTTGGAGTATTCGGTAAACCCTCATAAAGTCCATCAAAATGCTATCCCATTTCCACTCTGGAATATCTAATGGTTGCATTAATCCTGCAGGCTTCTGGTGTTCAACTTTCAACGTCTGACAAGTTAAACACGCATAAACAAATTAAGCCACATCACGTTTCAATCTAGGCCACCAAAATATATTTTTCAAGTCCTGATACATCTTTGTAGCTCCGGAATGGATACTCAAGCTACTTCTATGACTTTCCTCTAGGATTATTCTCTTCAACTCAGAAATATCAAGAATACAAATCCTATCTCGGAATCTCAACACACCCTGACCAACCACTTTAAAGTCATCCTCTTCAATCTGATTATCTCCTACCATCAAATCCACCATCTTCACATCCAACTTCTGACTTTCTTTAACATTGTTAAGAAAATCATTGTTTATCTTCAACATATCCAACATCACACTCTGAGGTGTTAACTCATAAACCAAACTCAAGTCTATGAACTGTTCAACAAGTTCCAACTCTCTAACCGTTACAGCACACATATTCAAAAACTTCTGACTTAAAGCACAAGCCACGATATTAGCTTTATCGGGATGATAATTCAAGCCAAAGTCATAATCTTTCAGAAATTCCATCCATCTACTTTGCCTCATATTCAGTTTCTTTTGATCAAATAGATACTTCAAACTCTTATGATCACTAAAAACCTCAAATATAGAATCATAAAGATAATTCCTCAAAATCTTGAACATAAACACCACTGCAGCCAACTCTAAAACATGAGTAGGATAGTTTCTCTCATGAACTCTCAGTTGTCATGAAGCATAAGCCACAACCTTGCAATATTGCATTAACCTATCACCTAAACCCATCATCGACGCATCGTAATACACTACAAACAATTCATTAGGTTAAGGTAAAATCAAAACTAGAGCCTTAGTCAATCTCTTCTTCAGCTCAATAAAACTCTCCTCATTGTTAAGGCCTCATACAAATTCGTTACCTTTACAAGTTAGTTGAGTCAACGAAAGTGCTAACATGGAAAAAACTTCAATAAACGTGCGATAATAACCAGCCAAGCCCAAAAAGCTTTTGTTTTACCCCAAAATTTTCCCTCCCTTTTTATCTAGACATTTCTTACAAAAGTTCTCAAATGCTCAAGGATTCTCAGAAGATGATCAGACAAGCTCACCTCCTAAGCACTGGGTCCACAACTAGGGTTTTGGTTTTCTCAAGGAAAATTGGACTTATAATGCCACAAGTAACTTTCATGGTTCATCATAGGTCTCCAAGAATGCTAACATCGAGTTTCAAGCCTTGCATCATAAATTTGCTCAATCAAATGCTCAGATGACCGAAAATCATCTGTATTGGGCAAAAAGTCAATTATTGTCAACATATAGTCAAACTTCAAGATTTTTTGCCAACATCAACATTTTTATGTGATGTTAATCATTTGATCAAGGTTTAATCATAATTCCTCAAGGAAAGCACTCAGATCATTAAAGGGGAAAAATTGTCAAAATTAGGGTTTTGATTGGGAATGACTGATCATTTACTTTTGACCCAGTAAATGACCTAATGACTTGAAGCATGATCTTAAGGAATCAAACAAAACATCTTGACCTAATTACACGGTTCAATACATTTCCAAAGGTGCAAGAGATTGATAGTTGAAGAATTGAGATCAACTTATGAAAAGACAACTGTCACACAAAAGTCAAACTTTGACTTTTTTGTCAACTTGAACTTCAAAGATCAAGAGTCATCAAACCATTCAAAATGATGAATCTTGATCAACAAGAATCAACAAAAAGTCAAAATTTCCAATACTTAAAAAAATTCTAAGTGTTTTTTCCTTGATAAATTCACTACTTCATGACCATTTTTCACTAAGATGCAAGATGATTCAAGGAAAACTTTCAACACGAAAGTTATAAAGAATGATGAATTCTAAAAATTTGTCCTTGAGGGTTGATGTCCAAAAATTTCTTGGATTAGGAGATATATGCCCATGAAGTCATGGCATTTTTATCTGAACACTTAGTAAAATTTTCAACAAGTTTTGTTAGATTTTTGTCCCAACTTCTTGGCATATTTTTACCAAGTTCCAATTTGATTTAGCCAAAGTTGTCAACATGAACGTTGTAGACAATGTTTCAAGATTTCCAAAATGTCCAATAACACATTTTTATCATGCTTGAGCTAAGAGATTCGAAGAGATGAAGTTGGGCATCCGTTCTTGAATTACAAGTCATTTCCTTGATGAACACATAATCAAATCCTCATGCCATGTTGCATTATCTTGCTTTGAAGGCCTCTTAACCTCTAAATCTATCCATAATCATATGATTGCGGAAACTTTTGAGCCATTATCCACTTGATTCAAGCTTTGTCCAAATGATTTTTCCATTTTGGCACAAAGTTAACATTGCCATTCTTGTAAAGTCGCTTTAATCACAAAGTCAACTCTTCTTGAGTCTCTCTAACTTGTTTCTTTTGAACACACTTAATATACAAGATCAAAAGAAACATGTTTAAAGTGTTCAACCACTCTAGAGGGTATGGTACAAGTATTGGAACCATGTTCTTCAATGTTGCTTCAAAAATAAGTAACCTAGCCATAACCTTGTAACTTGTAAACCAAGCCCTCTCATCCTCTAAAACCCTTTCTCTATAAATAGAGATGTCATTTGTAAGATAAGACACGAGTTCACAAGCCTCCTAACCCTCTCAAACTCTTTGAAATCAGAATTGGCATCCAACACCACATTTGTTTCAAATTATGACCTTGAACTCCAAACACCTAATGCATTCGTGCGTTTTCACTCTATATCATTTACAATGCTTCAATAACTCATATAAAGACTATTCAAACACCTGCTATACCACTGTAACATCATCTTTATCATCCTCCATTTTCAAAAATAGAACTCTGCAACTTGACTTTTCCAGAAGAATCCAGGCACTCTCAATCCAAAGTAAGCATTACAATATCTTTCTGGGAGTTCAGTGAAGCTATCCAAATCATCACAACACCTCCAGGAGTGCTCCAACTTTAAACATGATTCTCACTTTTGAGTGATGAGAGTTTTGGATCTGAAATTTCTAAAATATTAGGGTTCAGTTTGGTAACAACAAAAATTCACTTTAATCTTTGAGTCCTAGCTTATGTTAATGGCATGGTTGGATTCATGGTGAAAAAAAAGCAAGTTTCTTGTTTACACTTTTAAAAATGATTGAGAAATGGAAGAGTTTGAAAATTCAAAAGTCTTGTTGAAGCTTCTGGCGTGGGGAAGAATATGAAGTACATTCAGAAATGAGTTTGTAATATATTTAATAGTTGTTGTTTTAACTACCGAATGTATCACCACCCCAGTGGTTAAAGCGCACGCCTGTTACCTTTGGGACCTG